ACATTAGTAGTATCACTCTATGGGTCATTCCATATCACAAGAATGTGAGTGGAAGGACACTGCTTGACAAAAATTTCATCAGTTCTATCGAATAAATGCCTGGAATTATCCTCGCTTACCGTTTTAATACATGTATGTGTAACACACTCTAATAAACATGTAAGCGCAAAACGACAAAAATAATTTCCGTAATTGTTTTCAGAAGCAGCCAGCGTTTTCAAAAAACAAACTGCTATAGGGAACATTAACGTTTTGGCACTAATTAGGTTACATGGTAAAGCGTGCTCTGCTGTCATTAAGTCAATAATGCAAATGACAATGATGTGCATTTTTAAAGCTTCCACGAGGTAAATAGGCTAATCTTCGGCAAAATCATTTATCGTGTTTATGAATTCATGCGGGGCATGTTGAGATCACCCGATGGAAAGCAGTTAATCTAACAAAATTACAACTTCACCAGTTTCGCACTGTACATTTCCATGCTCAAGACTCGTGTCACGCATGAAGCCTGTATTGTGTTCGATTGTTTAATGTCAGTGGCTGTTTCGACTAAAATTTGCTGCATAGCAGACTTCGCTTGACTGAAATACGCCTGGTTGAGACAGAGTAAAGTGTTGTGACAAAGCCAGGTCAACTGATCGAAAAACTTAGAACTGTTTAACAGTCCTCCTTAGTACACATTCAGGATGCATAAACGTGTGAAGCTCATTACCTAGAACATGTAATTTCTATAAACAGCAACATATTTAGCTATTATCTCTGGTTTGCTTCGGTTTGTTGGACGGACTACATAGCGCAGAACATGGCCCCTTACCCATTTCTCTCGATCGACAACGAACATTTTTGCGCAGCTAATGCTCGCATCACTTCTTTTAGTCCTTTCAATCTCAGAAATTTGCTGCCATTACAATTTGGTATTGCAAACGTCTTACGAGAGCTCCACTAACTAGGCTGCCCATTCTAGAAATCTGCATCACACGGCGGATCAGTATATAACGTTTTGAATAGCGCTGGGAGAAATACAGGACCACCAAATGATAGCCAGAAGAATGCAGGCACTACCAAGTTTGCAAAAGTTATCATCGCATAGCGCTTAACAAAGTCAGTACAGAAAACAGCATAGGTTACGCATCATCACAATCACCTTTCTGAGCTATTTAAATCAGGACAAGTTGTTGCTAATGGTAAGTGGTAGCAACACGCAGTAACGGGAAATTCTGGAGTGCTATCTTCTAGCAGTGCGACTCAGGAAATAAGATGAGCTAACGCATGACAGAAAGATAGCCTGCAAAATATTAGTTCAGCACATTTAGAAGCATTCAGCTGCATACGGCAAAACGCTAACACGTTA